TGTGCCGGTGATAGCGTTTAAGGTGTACCATGAGAGAGATTAAAAAAAAAAAGCCCAGAAAAGGAGCTGCCAGATGCTGGCAAGCACCATCTGACCAGCTCCCCAAAAGCCGTCTGGTCCCTGCTTCAAGTGCAGGAAAGAAGGCCATTGGGCCCGGGCTTGCACCACCGGCCCACGAAGGGCACCGACAAAGCCTTGTCCAAAGTGTTGCCAAAAGGGTCACTGGTCAGCTGACTGTCCTAATGTCCCAAGCGACATAGGAACGCCAGACGAAGACCACCCTCCAGCTGACTTTCTAGGTTTGGCCTACAGCGAGGACTGACGCTGCCAGGTTTCCGCCACGGCCACTCCCATCTCACACAGGGAACCTAGGGTAATTATAAAGGTCAATGGGCGGCCCCATCTCGTTCCTTTTGGACACCGGAGCTACCTACTCTGTCCTGACAGAGTTTTGGGGGCCCACCTCCCCTGCTCGTCTCCTTATTGTTGGGGTTGGGGGAACAGCCTTACCTGCCTCATCAGACACCATCACTCAATTGCATTTTCAGAGGCATCCCTCTCACACACACATTCTTAGTGGTGCCAAGCTGCCCTGTACATTTAATGGGGAGGGATCCTCTAGCTAAGGTCCATTTCTTTCGCTCTACACATTGGCCTCGTCCCAGACGCGCCAGCAGCTCCTCTCCTTCTCCTCCCAGCCACTCACTCTACTGACTCTAGCAGTTCTTTCCCTTGCAGGCCTCTCCTCTCATGGAGGCATATCCGGTTTCTAATAAGCGGGCTCAGACAGTTGCAGACCTCCTTCTCCAAGAAATTATTCCTCAGTTTGGGATTCCTGCTTCTTTTCAGTCTGACAATGGCCCAGAGTTCACCTCTCAGATTTCTCAGACACTAGCTAAGGCTCTTAACATTCCTTGGCATTTTCATATCCCATACCGTCCTCAATCCTCAGGAAAGGTGGAGCGTACCAACCAGTCTTTAAAAACCATTCTTACTAAGATGTCACAGGAACTTCACCTTGACTGGGTAAGATTATTGCCTCTAGCTCTTCTCAGGCTCAGGGCTCTTCCTAAAAAGCCTCTTTCAATTTCTCCGTTTGAACTAATGTATGGAAGGCCAGTTCTAACACCAGGTCTTTTATCCAACCCTCCAACTGTTCCAGATAGACTGTTAACTCCCCTTTTATGTCACCTAAGGTCTATCCTATGGAGCTACGCAGACTGTTCATTACCTCAGCCATGTGACAATAACTGTCTACCTCCAATACACATTGGGGATCAGGTTCTTCTCTTCCCTCCAGGCCAGTGCCCTTCACCTCTTTCCCCTAAGTGGCAGGGACCCTTCAAGGTAATTCTTGTGACTCCTACAGCTGCTAAACTTGAGGGCTTTCCTCACTGGGTCCACCTGTCTCATCTAAAACTTTTTATCTCACCTCCATCCCAGAAAAATCTCTCTTCCTATACAGTGAAACAAATAGGGCCACTCACTCTCAAGCTCCAGAGGACATCAGGATCCACTGCCTTGTCACCAATTCCAGAGGTAAGGTATCACCCCTTCCTTTCCCAACCAGGGCCACACAGAGCCGGAGGCAAAAAAGACCATCAAAAATATCCAGGCGGTAAGGAAAAATATAATACAACAATCTATCATTGTTTAATACTCAACAACTGATCACCTGCATTTCCTAAATGCTAACCTAATAAGGGAAACAGGTGCCTTAAATAAACTACCTCTAATAAGGCTTGTCTCAGATAAAAATTAAGCAGAGTACTAAGGCCAGATCTACCTCAGATAAATGTCACATGTCTCCATCTGGGCAGGCCAGATCTACCTCAGACAAATGCCAACTCCAAAAATAAAATAATAATAATTTTTTTCCCTAAGCTTTTTCTATGTCAACAGTATCTTGTCAAATAGAAGGTTCCCAGCCACAGCACGGATGGACAGCTGCAGAACAAGGGGACGGCAGAACGTCATTCCAGGACCTCCCCACCATCATCCCAAGACTTCACAAGATACCCTCCCATTCCCCCCAAGAGCCAACCAATGCCCACTATTCAGCCGGAAGCAGTCTTTGAGAGAAACGTCGCCCCATTCCCACTCAACCACAATTTTTTTTCTTTTTTAAAAGGAAGAGTCAAGGATGATGGGTTCACAACACGCCCCCACGATTGGGCGTGTTTGCATGTGCCCGGCGGACCTGGACACTTCCGCCTAGCCAGTTCCAGGTCAAGATAGGCATTTCCGGGTCAAGACGTCTCGAGTGACCAGGATCCGTGACTTTGCATGGTTGTGTAAGCGCGCAACGCAGCCATGTGATCTACACACATGCGTGGAGTAGTTACGTCGACCTGTGCACCCCCAGCCTTTATAAGCCGGCGACATATTCCCGGCTTTCTCTCTCTCCTCTTCTTCCTCTTCTCTACACACGTGTCTCTTCTACAGGCCTGGGCACCCATCTGTCCCTATCATCTTAATAAAACTCTTGTTAGCGGATTCTGTCGTGTTTCGTGACATTTCCTCGCAGGGTAAGAGCACCGCAAAATAACTAACAGAGGTGGTCTTAGTTCTTGGCTACTGCTCGATCTCTGGGCTTTTAACTCTTTATTTGGCTCTGTGTTTCTTACTTAATAAGACCATTTAGAATTACATCGACAAATGCATGAGGCTGCAGCTCATACTATGTCCTTTCCATTAGATAATAAATTCCTAACACCTCACATCATTCGACTGACTCAACAAAGAATGCAAATACCACTGGCTGAAATGTTCTCCATGAATCAGCTACCTCCCAAGGGCCCTATGAGACTGATTTAGGAGCTTTGGTTCTCTTGGAAAAAAAAAAAAAAAAAAAAAAAAAAAAAAAAAAAAAAAAAAAAAAACAACTCCTTTATCCATGAAGCCTTAATTCTATCATGCTGCACTGTGAGTAGAATATCTTCGTTACTATCCCCAGAGAATAAAAGCTGGCCTGTAAGTCAAATGACAACATTCCTTAAACAGCCATTATAGTGCTGATAAAACATGGCCATCTTATGAAACATCAGGGAGGGGTTATAAAACACAAAGGAATTTCAAAACATGAGTGGAGTCAGATATGCTAGAACATGCCTGTAACCCAATCCCAAGCAGGAAGATTGGAAATTCAAAGGCATCACTGGGCTACATAAGACTGACTCAAAACAAAAACAAGAAAAATCTAAGAATGGTAAGAAAGGCTGGCTAAGAACCCAAATGGCCACTAAGCCCCTGACCCAAGGGGAAGGTCTCCTGGATTTTTTGGCTGGCAGGATCTGGCAGGCATACAGATAGGAGACTTGGACCCTTCTCTGTGGCCATGGCTTCCTTATTCCTGACCTGAAGGGAAAATGAATTATTTTGTGATTTCTTTTCTTTTCTTTCTTTCCTTTTTTTTTTTTTTTTTTTTGGTGACAGGTTCTCACCATGTATCCTTGGCTGGGGTTGGAACTCACTATGCAGACTAGGCTGGCCTCAAACTCATAGAAATCTATCTACCTCTGCCTCCCAGGTGTTGGGATTAAAAGTGTGTGCCACCATACCTAGCCTTGTGATTTAGCCTTGTGATTCTTACTGTGAAAGCTTTATGAAGAAAAAAATTATTCACAAAATACTTACCACAAGCCATTTCCTTAAATCATTTTCTGCATGGAATCTGTTTTGGAGACTGGGTTTGTGTTGATATAATGTGTACCCTAATAAATCTGCCTAAGGATCAGAGGACAGAGTCAGCCACTAGATTAGACACAGAGGCCAGGCAGTGGTGGCACACACCCTTAATCCTAGCACTTGGGAAACAGGAACTCACTCTCTTTAGGCTGAGGATTTCGTACAAGTAAGAACTAGTGGCTGGCTGTTCTGCTTCTCTGATCTTTCACCTTTTCACCCTGATATCTGGCTCTGGGTTTTTTATTAAAAGACCATCTAAGATTCGAACAATATCTGTTGCCCAACATGGAAACAGTTTGGACTACAAACTGCTCAGGACAATTTTAAGATGGCTAGCTGAGATGATCCAACCTCACACACTACTAGAGCAAGGACTTGAGACAAGCCCTGCACTTTCCCATTACGCAGACACTGGACAACAGCTATACAGCTTCCTCCCCCAGGACTTGACAATTAACCCCAAAATTTTCTTTTCAGGATCCCCTAAACATGCCTTTGCCCCCAGACAGCAGGAAGTAATTTTAAGAACAGACACCCACATTCCCAAGAGGTAGGGTGGGTGGTTTTTGGCCTGTCAATGGGTTATAGATAATTGTCATTGTTTAGGATGGTTGGTTACAAGCTGTTAATTGATAATGGTCAGGAAAAAAAGCTAAACAAGATTAGATTCAGGGTTCTTGTTTGAAAAAAAAAAGAAAAGAAAAAGAAAAAAGAGGATATAGATAAGAGGTAGATTATTGAATCTACTCTGAAAAAAAAAGATATGGATATGATAAGATAAAATGGTAGATTATTGAATCTACTTTTAAAAAGCAACTACTAATTTTAAATATTTTATATTGGATTGGATTTTTGTATATTATATACAAATTATATATTGATACAAATTTGAGATTGATTTTGTTAGAAAATACTGTACATATATTTCTAATCTTGTTCAAGGGATTATACCTATGGGTTTTTTATTAAAAGACCATCTAAGATTCAAACAACAGGGTCTTGTTAAATAGCCAAGCTTGAAATTCTCCCCAATACTAACATTACAAGTATATGGCACCATATACTAGCTTCTACAGGGTCTTTATTTTATGGATTGCTGTCATCCTCATGTACCTTGGAAGCAGGCAGCTCCCTGGAGGATGGTGACCCTTTTCAACTGCATTCTCGGCAGCAGAATGCTAAACTAGATGGAGTAACAGTATAAAGCTGGAGATGCTACTAATACCAAACCAAACCAGAAAAAAAAAGACTTTATTTTCACACGTACAAATGTTGACTTAACATTTTTACAATTAAGAAAAATATATACACACCAGTCTCAATGGAGAAGTGAAATAACCAATGTCCACCACAGCAGTGATGACAAATCATCCCAGGAACCCGACTTTTGGCCTCTTGGGCCCCAGGCTTTCTTCCTTGTGTAGAATGCTCTGCAAAGACATGTGTAGCACCTTGCCCACTCGCTTGCTGCTCTGCAGGATGACAGGGACAGGACAGAGTGTTGTGGAATATTAGTTGAAGATGTATTACATTTGTTTATGCTGTGGAATACTTTTTTAATAATGCAAAGATGTGTTGTATTCTTTTATGTTGCACTTGTTTAACTCTGTAAAGCTACGTTGTATTGTCTGTCTAAAGCACCTGATTGATCTACTAAAGAGCTGAACAGCCAATAGTCAGGCAGGAGAGAGAAATAGGCAAGGCTGGCAGGCAGAGAGAACATATGAGAGAGAAGATCAAGGAGCAAGAAAAAAGAGAGAGGACATCAGGGGCCAGCCAACCACAGATAAGAAGTAAAGGAAAGTATATAGACTAGAGAAAGATAAAAGCCCAGAGGCAAAAGGTAGATGGGATAAATTAACAAAAATGGCTAGAGACAAGCCAAGCTAAGGCTGGGCATTTATAGGTAATAATAAGACTTCATGTATTTATTTGGGAACTGGGTGGTGGGCCCCCAAAGACCAAAGAGTAAAGAGTTAAAAAACCAACCAACCAACCAACCAACCTACAACAGAGGTCACCTGCTGGTGAGGCAAAAACTCATCAGAAGCCCCTACCTGCTTGCCAGCCTGCCCAACACCCACATATCTGTCTGCATCACTGAAATTTTTACAGCTTTTCATTTTCCCTAGAAGTTAGGCACACATTCCAACACCCTAGCTCACCAAAGGACTTCCAATTAATACAAAATGAACTATAAACACCAACAGCATCATGGTTACACTTGGAGATCCTCTACACACACAAGTAAATCACTGAAGACCAGAAAAGGCTGCCCAACAATCAATGTTCCTGCTGCCACAACAAACAGTCACACTGCCAACCAAACCTGGCTGTGGAATACTGTCTTATGAGGCATAGAAAGACCACAAAAACCCTCCTGTTGAGGAAGAAGCAAAGACTACCCAGGCCATCTCAATAAGCCACTCACCTGGCACCAGACCTCCAGGCACAAATGCTCAGATGCCAAAATCAGGCCCTGGATGGGGTCTTTGGTTACCCACAGGGGCACATTAGAAGAGTGACATGTGAGGAAGTCAGACTACCCACTAGTAATTATCAGCCACATGGCAGGCATTAAAAAAAAAAAAAAAAAAAAAAAAGACTAAACGTACATGTACAAAATGTTCCAAAGCCCCCCAAGACAAAATCTTTGTTATCTTGTCTCCAGGCTCATTTTGTCTCCAGGCTCATGAATCATTTTAAGACTATAGTGCAGCCGGGTGGTGGTGGCACATACCTTTAATCCCAGCACTCAGGAGGCAGAGGCAGGGGGATCTTTGTGAGTTCAAGGCCAGCCTGGTCTACAGAGTAAGTTCCAGGATAGCCAAGGCTACACAGAGAAACCCTGTCTCAAAAAACAAACAAATAGAACACAACATACCAACCCCAAATCTCCACTGCAAGCTCTGAATGCTCCCATAGCTTGTGGCTGTGACTTTGCTTCTGTACTGGATCTCAGTGTCATCGAGAAAGACACCAGGCCTGTACCACAGTCCCAGGCCAGTCACAACCTTTGTGTTTATCCTGGCCCTGACTGTCATGTGAGGTGAGCCTCCAGGTACGACTACTTATGAAAAGATTATGGTGGATTGGAGTTCAGATTCCCAGCACCCAGTAAATGTTGGGCAAATGTGGTAGCCCACCTGTGATCTCAGCTCACAGGGCGCCAGAGACAAGGGACCCCCTAGAACAAGCTGGCTGACTACACTGCTAGGATTGATGAGCGCTGGGTTCAAGTGAGAGATTCTGCCCCAATACATAAGGTGGTGAATGATTGACGGAGACACTCAATGTCAATCTCTAGTCTCCACATGCATGCACACTTATATGAACAAGCACCTCTCCACATATGCACCCACACAACACACACACACACACACACACACACACACACACACACACACACACACACACACACACGCCCTACACTAGAAAATGTCCAATTCTATGAAATAGGTGGTCTGATTATTCATGGTGGGAGAAAGATGAGGAGAAAGGTGGGAGCAGGACAACAGGGGTGGAGAGCAGAGGCCACAGTCTGCAGAGGTACTCAGAGGTTCTCACTTAACCACTGGGCGTTCAGAACCACTGATAGGACAACAGGGGTGGAGAGCAGAGGCCACAGTCTGCAGAGGTACTCAGAGGTTCTCACTTAACCACTGGGCGTTCAGAACCACTGAGTCCATTTATGAAATGGACAGCCACAGCCCTGTGGCTCCTTGAGCCAAGCTTGCAGACCTCACTCCCTGTCACTGAAGCCCTGGAGGCATGGCTACAGCATTCCAGAGAGATCTGGTTATTCTTTATGTGCCTCAGGTTCTTCATCTCAAAGACTGAACTATGAAGGCTAACAGATGGAGAAGTATACTAAGAACAGTTCCTGGCACATAGTATACAATAAATCTTTGCTATTGTTTAAAACACCCAGATTTACCATTAAGTTCTCTGGAGTGAGCCCTCTCTAAGGGAGGATATGAGCTCCTTTTGTCTAAAGGGATCTTTTTGGGTCTCCTACTACATTCTAACAGCATGTAGAGAAACCCAAATCCAGGCTGCTTAAAAGAGCAGAGAACAGGGGCTGGAGAGATGGCTCAGAGGTTGAGAGCACTGACTGCTCTTCCAGAGGTCCTGAGTTCAATTCCCAGCAACCACATGGTGGCTCACAACCATCTATAATGAGATCTGGCACCCTCTTCTGTATACATAATAAATAAATGAATTTAAAAAAAAAGGGGGGGGAGACATGGCACAGTGGTTAAGACTGTTCTTTAAAAAAAAAAAAAAAAAAAAAAAAAAAAAAAAAAAAAAAGAGCAGAGAACAAGAGCTGATGGTCACTGCAACGTATCATGCGATGACACACCAGCTCCCCACCCTGCCCTTCATATCCTCAGAGCAGCTTAGGGAGACGCATGCAGCCTTGAGCTGGAACGCACAGCCTACACCTGGATATGGAAGCCTGTGTAAGAAAGCTATGAACTATGGATGGAGCAGAGTACAGAAGGTTTTCCCCACAGGTGGCCTTTATATAAAGAACTGTATAAACTATGTAAGTTAATGCACTTGAAAGCAAGGGTATAAAGGGAATGCCCTGGCACGTCCACACTATCTCTGTGGGAAAAACAAAGGCCTGGGAGGAATATTCTTGGCTCTTTTCACATGACCAAAGATGGTAAGACATAACACCAGGTGTATTCCCTCATTGTACTTGTATTTGCTTAAGCTAACTGTAAGCATCACATCATGTTTTGCTTGCTTTAATAACAAAACTGAGAAGTGCTTTGCTCCTCAGAGACTTAGCCTTGCGGGCCAAGGGACGGGTTGACACCTGGGACCAGACACACTGTCCATTATGTCCTTTTATGTGTTTGTGGAGGCCACAGGTCAACATTAGGTATCTTCCTTTATCACTCTTCACCTCAATTTCTGTGACAGGGTCTCTCACTGAAGGTGAAGCTCACCTACTAGTTAGAATAGCTGGCCAGTGAGCCCCTAGGATCTACTTGTCTGCCTCCCAGCATTAGGATTACAGGCATGCACCACTCAGCCCAGTTATGTGGGCGCTGGGGATCTGAACTCAGGTCCTCATCTTATGAAACAATCACTACTCATTGAGTTATCTTCTTACCCATCCCCAGAGCTTCTCATCTGACCCTTGCTAGCTTTCCCCGAAACACTTCCAGGTTGTGAAGAACCTGTGATGGGTCACTCTTTAGTGCTGCTCTCATCTACACTCTTTTTAGAAGGGACAGGAATTCAATTCCTCATCCTGTGAGGGAGTTATGTGACTCTTTACATGGCTGAAGTCAATACTCAGACCAAATGCAGCCACTGGGGATTAGAGAAGATAAACACAGTCACCGGCAGGGCCTGACCCCCAGCCCAAAGCTCTACCCACTGCTCTCCCAGCCCCAAGGTGGGGTCCTGAGTGTGAATGGAGAAGACACATGGATAATGAAGAGGTGGGAAGCAGCAAGTTCTAGTAGCCAGGCTTGCCCCAGCACTATGGACTTACCTCCATCATCTCAAAGATGCTCTCAGGATCCAGGCTTCCCTTTCCCACCTTCCTCATGCATGTCACAACTCCCTTGCTGGTCACTGACACTAGCAGACTGGCCAAGGAACAGGCTTCCTCTTGAAGTGTGGCATCCACCACATGCCGGCAGCCAATCTGCAAGATCAGGGCTGTTTAACACACATGTGAGCAATACACCAGAGATCCCAGATTCCCCTCATATAAAGCCTACAAAGACTGCATATGCATGGCTCATTCCAGATCTTATTTTAAATTCTGCTCATTTGGAAAATGCTGGAAGGAATGTTCAACATTGTTAATATAGTTCATTGTGTGAATAAGATAATGAAAGACAAAAAAATGGAAACAAGGGGTGTGGGAGCAGACAGTTCATCAGGACAGAGGCCACCAGGCTTTCCAACAGGGGACACAGGCCAGAAATGCGTACGTGAGGCCACATTACATCTTGTTCACTCCAACAGTGAATCCAGAGAACCAAGCTAAGGGACAATCAAAATGAAGCCACTCTCCAGAGCTCTGTTCAATCACAACACCCTGTGAACATTTCTTTACAATCCCAGTTCTCAAAGGACTTTCAGTGGAATTAAATGACTGAAATTTGTTTTTGTTTTGTTTTGTTTTGACAAGGTCTTGTGTGCAGCCGTGCTGACCAGGTACTTGATAAATAGGCTAGGCTAGTCTCAAGCTCGCAGTAGTCCTCCTGCCCCCACCTCCTGAGTTCTGGAATTAGAGACATGAGCCGCCACACCTGGCTCAGTTTCATTTTTATATAACGAGTCTCGTGTGGAATTAGTCACAATCCCAGCCAACACAGGCCAGAGGCTATGCTAGATATCAGGCTCAGAAAACCTCTGGGCTCTGTGAAAACCATACCTGGCATGTGACACCTAGGACTGGTCCCACATCCTCAGTTCCTATATGTGGACATCAGGGTCCACAGAGGAATTACTGTTTGAGAATCTATCTACCAGTGTTCAGTTACCTTGGACTCTGGGGTAGGAGTTAATGGACATGAGCAGTACAATAAAGTGCAGGGCCTGCCAAGGGAGAGGACAGCCCTAATGCTAAGGAAGCAGAAGGCTCAGATGATGGTTTCTAATGTAACTGAATTATTAGAATTGGGTTAAAGCTACATCTACATGGTTTGTACAACCACAACCTCCCAACTTATGAAGTAATCTCAACAGGTTAGGGTTGGAGGAGACCCACCTGTGGTGATACTGTGTTCCCCAAAATATTGTGCACCCTAATAAACTTATCTGGGGTCAGAGAACAGAACAGTCACTAGATATAGAGGCCAGAAAATGGTGGCATGCCTTTAATCCTATTACTTGGGAGGCAGAGATCCATCCGGAACTATGTGAGTTTAAAGCCACACTGGAAACAGCCAGGCATGGTGACTCACGCCTTTAATCCCAGGAAGTGAAGGCAGAAAGCAGAAAGGTATACAAGGCGTGAAGACCAGGAACTAGAGCCTGGTTAAGCTTTCAGACTTTTGAGCAACAGTTCAGCTGAGATTCATTCTGGATGAGGACTGAGAGACTTCCAGTCTGAGGAAACAAGATCAGCTGAGGGATTGGTGAGGTGGGGTGGCTGTGGCTTGTTCTGCTTCTCTGATCTTCCAGCATTCACCCAAATACTTAGCCCTAGGTTTTGTTTTTATTAATAAGACCTTTTTTAAAAAAAAATTTATTTATTTATTTATTTATTTATTATGTATACAGTATTCTGCCTACAGGCCAGAAGAGGGCACCAGATCCCATTGAAGATGGTTGTGAGCCACCAGGTGGTTGCTGGGAATTGAACTCAGGACCTCTGGAAGAGCAGCCAGTGCTCTCAACCGCTGAGCCATCTCTCCAGCCCCCTTAATAAGACCTTTTAAGATTCCTCCTACACCCACCTCCCCACAGATGGCAAAAATGCTAAGAAACAAGCTCACACCTTGCACAGGGTGACAATGCAGGGGACATTCTCCACACTCAGTCGGATGCAGTCATAAGGATCATCAGACAGTTCAATGTCCTTTGCCCCCTCTTCATCCTCCAGAACACGAACCCTTGGTATCCTGGAAACAGAGGCAGAGTTAAAACTGTCATCTACTGGAAGGAGGAAACATAGCGTTTTTTTTGAGAATAGGAGTTGATATTCTTCTCTTACAAGCAGGAATTTCATTAATTCCATCTTGTTTGCATCCTCATCCTCATCACCTGTCAAAAACTGAGGCTAGAGCTTCCATGTCAGGAGCCCAGAGTACTAAGTAATATCCTATTTAAACTGGGCAGTAAACAGTTTGAAATGGTATGTCAAAAAAGGAGCCTGTACATGTACATGTGTATACGTACACACACAAGTACACACACACACACACACACACACTGCGGGGGTGGCGGGGAGGGAGGGAGGGAGGGAGGGGGGTAGCGGGGAGGGGGGGAGAGAGAGAGAGAGAGAGAGAGAGAGAGAGAGAGAGAGAGAGAGAGAGAAAGAGAGAAAGAGAGAAAGAGAGAAAGAGAGAGAAAGAGAGAAAGAGAGAAAGAAAGAGAAAATTCTTAATGTTTTGGCCCTAGCATAGCTGGGCAGAGGGTTGAGAAAGACAACCGAGTGGCATCAGCTCTTCTAGAGGACTCCAATGCACAAAGGTCTTTCTATCCTCTATCCAAGGACATCATGGGGTCACTGCTCCTTGCTGGTTGGGAGTGAAGACTAGGACTCCCTCACAGCAAAACAGCTTCCCCAGCTCCCTGGCACCCATGGGAACCAGCTAGCCAAGGAGATTCATCTTAAGCCACTTCTGATGACAACTTCCTTTGTCATTTCGACAAATCTTAGCCACTTCTGATGACAACTTCCTTTGTCATTTCGACAAAGCCCGGGTGCTGGCTGCTGGTGTGATGGGATCTAGCATGCAAATTCATCATGGGAGTGCCTGGACCCCTCTTAGAAGGTCTAACAGAATCCAGTGGCATGGTTGGATGGAGGACACTATAGCTCCTAAGCTTACGAATACTCCATCTTGGAAGCTCTTATGTAAGTTTAACTATGTCTGTATTTGTTCTGTAGTCGACACAACAGAAAGAGTCTAAAATCTCTGTGTTACGCTGTCCATAAAGTAAAGATAGTGACCATTCGAGTTATTTCCAGACATACCAAACACAATAGCCAAAATCAAAGTAAAACCACCATCTAAACAGGATGTGAAAGGTGCACCTAGTGAGTCGGTCTCCTTGTTAACAAGCCCCTGAAGACACTGCGGTGTGTATTTTAACCTCCAATGTTTTGAGACTCAGGTGCTCAACTTTCACCATTAAAAAAAACACGAGGGACATTCCAGAATAAACGTATTTGCTCACTTATTCAAATTTTCTTTACCTAGTGGCTTGTGCGTGTGGTGTGCACAAGTTTACACACATGTAGAGATCAGAAGACCTCATGTATCTTCCTTGAGCTCTACCTTATCTTTCTGACAGGGAATCTCACTGGAACCTTAGGCTTGTTGACTCACTAGACAGGCTGGCCAGGAGTACCATAGATCTTCCCATTTCTTCCTCCCTAGCACTAGGATTACAGGTGTGTGCCACCACTCCTGGCTTTTTAAACTGAGTTCTGGAAACTGAACTAAGGTTCTCAAGCTCTTTACCAACTCAGCCACCCTAACAGCCTCAATCACAAGTTTTTAAACCCCACTTTACCCCAAGGTACCTCAGGAAAGGAACACATATTGACCCACACAATTACTCAGCTGCTAGACTCTCTTCATAGATATACTCAAAGAAACACAAATTTTAGCTCCCTGTGTGTGTGTTCACAGCCTATCTATGAAAGGAAACACAGTGGGGGAACCACTGTTCTTAACCAAAACCAAGTTGCTCCCTTCCTAGAACATTCATACGCACAATCAAGGAACGTGTGAATACCTACTGTGTGCTAGGTGCTATGTGTAGAAATGGAACATGAGAAAGTGAAAGGCATTTTTCAGAGTCCATCCTGTAATAGGTAGACAACCTGAAGCTAAGGTATAATTTTTTTGTATCTCTGGTTTCCTAATACTGTTTACATGACATACATTTACCAATAAAAAAAAATAAACACAAAAATACACATATCTTACTTAGTTTTAGTTCACAAAATCTCTTTCCTGAGCTTAGCATTAGATAGCATACCTGTCAACTCTGAACCATTTTAGACATACAATTTCCTTGTCGGTGTTCCATGGTAAGTCCTACACAGGCCCATAGGACTGGTCTCTAGGGAGACTCACCTCGTATTGAAGAGAGCAGCCTTCACAGCAATGGAAATAGCATCAAACAAATTCCCACCACATTCCAGCAGCTGAGAAACAAAAAGTCAGCATTACTTATCATTAAGCATTAACCCAACTAAGAAACAGATTCCTAAGCCATGCTGAATGTACATTTAAAAAAAAAAGACATGAAACCAGGTGTGGTAGTTCATATCTATAATCCCAGGACCCAGGAAGCAGAGGCAGGTGAATCTCTGTGAGTTTGAGGCCCGTCTGGTTTATATAGTGAGTTCCAGGACAGCCAGAGCTACATAGTGAGACTGTGTCTCAAAAAAAAAAAAAGACTACAAAAACCATAAATAAATAAATAAATTAGCTAAAATAAAGATAAGGAGGTGGGCTGCCCTCCTTGGCTAGCTGAACCATGAGGAGAGTGATATGCCGCTGCTATTCCATAGTTGCAGTAATACAGACACACATGCAAGGTGGCTGCTGCCCTGCTGAGGTGACACGGACTGACTAATTCAGACAGCTGCCGACTGCACTGCAAGCCTCACTCACAGAGGACATGCATGCATGGAGTCGGGACACCTCTACTATGTGATTACCAGGACACACACCCAGTGCTCAGACCTGTACCACTACACACTGTATATTAATTATAAAATCCCAGGTCTACCTCTGGTAGACTCTTGCAGGTGAGATGAGAACACACCTCACATGGAAGCGGTAAATCTACCCTCCCAAGAAGCCTCTGTCTGAGGTTCTGGAAAAAAGCCAACAACCAGACTCCTCAAGGAGATGGAGAAGTCATGTGTTGAGAAGTCATGAATCAAGGCTGGAGAGATGGCTCAGCGGTTAAGAGCACTGACTGTTCTTCTCGAAGTCCTGAGTTCAATTCCCAGCAACCACATGGTGGCTCACAACCACCTGTCATGAGATCTGGTGTCTTCTTCTGGTCTGCAGGGACACGTGCTTACAGAACACTGTGTAAATAATAAATAAATATTAAAAAAAAAAAGAGAAGTCATGAATCTCTCTTTCTAGTTTTGATGGACATGACATTTTATATATTTGTACATTCATCATCCCTCCTAAGAAAGACCCTTAACAACATCCAGCTATACAGAAATGCCTATTGATGGCCACATAGTTAAGACCCAAATGAAAAATAATTCTAGAATTAAAAATTGGATCCTTTTCTCAGGTTTTTGAGCAAAACACTCAGCACACATATTTTATGCTTTACTCTTTTGTCTTTTGGGGGTCCTCCACCCAGCTCCCAAATAAATCACACAGAGTCTTATTATTACTTATAAATGCCCGGCCTTAGTTTGGCTTGTTTTTTTTGCCAGCTTTTCTTACATTTTCTCATCTACCTTTTGCCTCTGGGCTTTTCCCTTTTTTTTAGTTCTGTGTATCTTCCTTTCACTCTTATTCTGTGGCTGGCTGTGTGGCTGCCCCCCAGTGTCCTCCTCTCCTTGTTCTCTTGCTCCTTCTTCTATTTATTTATTCTCTCTGCCTGCCAGTCCCGCCTGTCCTTTCTCCTGCCTTGCTATTGGCAGTCAGTTCTTTATTAGACCATCAGGTGTTTTAGACAAGCTAAGTAACACAGCTTCACAGAGTTAAACAAATGCAACATAAAAGAATGCAACACATCACTGCATCATTAAACAAATGTTCCACAGGATAAACAATTGTAACACACTTTTTTGTAGTTGTTGTTGTTTTTCAATATAGGGTTTCTCTGTGTAATTTTAGTGCCTGCCCTGGAACTCACTCTGTAGACCAGGCTGGCCTCAAACCCAGAGAGATCCTCCTGGCTCTGCCTCCTGAGTGCTGGGATTAAAGGCGTGCGCCACCACCGCCTGGCGTTGTAACACATTTGCTGTGGGATGATCTGTATGTGCTCTGATTGGTCAATAAATAAAACACTGATTGGCCAGTGGCCAGGCAGAAAGTACAGGCAGGACTAACAGAGAGGAGAATTGAGAGAACAGGAAGGAGGGGGGCGTCACTGCCAGCCGCCGCCATGACAAGCAGCATGTGAAGATGCCGGTAAGCCACGAGCCACATGGTAAGGTATAGATTTATAGAAATGGATTAATTTAAGATATAAGAACAGTTAGCAAGAAGCCTGCCACGGCCATACAGTTTGTAACCAATATAAGTCTCTGTGTTTACTTGGTTGGGTCTGAGCGGCTGTGGGACTGGCGGGTGACAGATTTGTCCTGACTGTGGGCCAGGCAGGAAAACTCTAGCTACACACATTTTTAACTAATATTCTACCACAACACATTCCCAAGGGCCGGCTCTTGTACTTAAGCCCTGGGTGAGTTCTAAGAGGCTACACTGAAGGTAAACCCACAGTTCCTCCTGACAACACAGCATAGCAGCTTCTAATTCCCAAGAAGCCTTGTTGTTATTATTCCCTGCCCCATACTCATCTAAGTATATTTATATGGAATCTAAAAATACTCAGTAGCAGTTATTTCAGGTGATCATCTATGTCCTAATCAGAACATAGGAACGGAGTACTCCAATTCTCTTGTATGTGCCAGCCTCCCTTGGAAGAACATCCTTTGCAGGTGAGCCTCAGAGCCCGGCTTGTTCCTCCTAGAGTGGCCAAGTGAAGGCCCTGCCTCACACTGGCCGAGTTCTTTACTTCTGTAGAGCTCTTTTTCCCACTGATCAGAAATGACAGTCTAGTTCCTTTTCTTCTTTAGGTCTCTAGTGTCTACTCACAGAAGGTTTGGAAGGCTTACCTGAACAGGCATGAAAAGAGCTTATCATCCCATACCAATTGTCAACTTGCTAAACTCTAATAATCTGTCTGGTACCATCCAGAGGGTCCTTGTTTTTAATTCCCTGATAACTCCTATGGGTGATTTTAGGTACAACTCACTATGCTATGCTATGTGCTATGACCACAGTTTTGTTATAGAATGGTGTTATATGTACCACTTATTAATGTTTTGTATTTATCTTGTAAATACAAGATTATTACAGGAGACCATCTCTTCCCAAAGAATCTGACGGTGGAGGCTGAAAACACTTCCCCATGAAGAGGAACAGTAGAGGGAGGAAGGAAACCAACAGGTCTTCAACACAGGTGGTGTAAGATGGGAACAATGCAAGATGACTCACCAGCACATCCACACAGAGAACCCAGCAGTGCTCCCGAGGACTGATGCAGAGGGACCTCAGGTCTACGCTGCTCTTGTTGTTAAATATCCGGTAGAGGGTGTTAGCGATCTCTGTGCCAAGGTCATCACCTCCTCGCCCTTCAAATTCTGGAGTAGCATTGGCTGAACTACATAAGACAGCAACAGAAAAGCTGTGTGAGTCTCTACAAACACAAAGAACTTGTTCTCTGTGGAATGCTGGAGTGCCAGCATAAGGAATGTCACCAAGGGCCAAAAGCAGAGAGCTGTCCTAGCTTGCATAAGGCAAAAGGGAAAAAAGTGAAGTCACTGAAATGAGAAAAGGACGGCGTCAGCTGTCTTGGGGGCCTATGGGTACGTGCAATGACCGAGCCCAGTACTGTGCCCTGCCCGTCAGTGGATGAAGCAGGCCTTTAAGCAGAGGCCTTCTTCAGCCAAGGAGGAAGAGATTGGTGGTAAGTGAACCTCAGCTGGTATAATGAACTCTTATCTTCAGAGTAAAATAAACACTCTTCTCTGGCTGGCCTGTAAAGCTAGGAAGCCTCACGACTGTGAAGTATGCCTCTCACCCTCCACACCAGCCCTGGCTTTCAGTGCAGGGTAAACCCTTCTGGAATGACTTAGGGATACATATGATAGTAGGACAGAGATCAGACACTAGGTTATCACTGTACTGAGAAGGAAAATGAATGACAGCATGAAAAAAACTGTTGACCTGTTATTTGTATTTGATGTCATTTGGTATTTTTCAGGAGAGAAAAAAAAATTCCCTTTTGGACTCTTGATACTTATGCCCAATTACCTCAACAAAGAATTAACAAATGTTCACATGTGCCACTCTGACAAGACTCAAAGGCTTTACAGGACTTTTTGAGAGTTCTGCACGGACATAAACCAGCCTATTAAGTCTATGAGGTAAATAAACATTACTCATCTATGTGGTAGGAAAGGCAAGGGGCCAGCTGCTTCAGCTCAGACTTTACAAAGTCATCTCCAAAAGCATCCTGACTCCGGAAAAGCTGGAAGGTATTAGTACATGCCAGCACGGGAAGCAGGAGACTGGGAAAGTTGGATGGGGGTGGTGGTGGGAATATATGTGGATATACTTCTCTTAGTCCTGGAGGGTCAAGAAGCTGCAGACCCCAGGAAAGTAGCTATCAGAGCAGCAAGAGGAGAGAGGGGCTCTGGGAAAGCAACACCAGCATGGTCGCCCACAGCTGGGCCCACGTATCTATTTAATGGTGAAAGGAATCTTTCTTAGTGATATAGTCTAAGAGTGCAACACAGGACAGCATTTATTGTATAACTTTGATTCTAATTACCTGCTCTTCCCTTATACTATCAGCAAGTAGAACCCAAATTTAAAAACATGAAGAAATTTCACTGCCACCACAGCAATATGGTGATTTCCAAAACTCCCTGCCAGCCTCAGCTACAGCAGTGAAAAGTAGCTCTGCTAAGGAGAAACAGCCAAGACCAACTGTCAAACCTTTACACAGCCAGCAGCATACAGCCTGTTTCTTTCTTTCTTTTTTTTTTTTTTAAATATCTATTTATTTATTATGTATTCAGTGTTCTGCCTGCATGTATGTCTGCACGCCAGAAGAGGGCACCAGATCTCATTACAGATGGTTGTGAGCCACCATGTGGTTGCTGGGAATTGAACTCAGGACCTCTGGGAAGAGCAGCCAGTCAGTGTTCATACATACAGCAGCCCCCATACGCCTGTTTCTAACTCAACACCAAGCAGCCAATATTAAGTCCTATGTGGGAAGTCCCCCAGGACACATCACACAGGTCTCTATATGCACAATCAGAGATGCTTCTCCTCCACTCTTATGTTCACTGAATGCAGGAGTCACATCTTCAACTTCCCAGTCCCAGGGTAAAGCATTAATCGTCTACAGCCCTGAAGCCCTAGGAGCTGTTCACAGCTTCCCCAGTTCAACTGTCTACACTCATCTGCCCCATTGTTTCTTTGGGACTAAGGTAATTTAAGGTAAAATTTACCCATTTAAAACACCCTTTCATTTTTGAACACATCATTCTTTTAGCACAGCTCATAGTCAGGCATTGAGGAAGATTAGAGGCTTCTGCAACCATGGCCCAGTACTATCTGCATGGTCCCCGGCTGTGGGGCGATACAGTGGAGGCCAGGGAGAAAGGAGCTACGCGTTCAGTGCGGGGAAACAGAGCACATGCTTTGGACAGCATATGAAAGCCAGAGAGGGGCTGGAGAGATGATCAATGGTTAAGAGCATCGGCTGCTCTTCAAAAGATCCAGGTTTAGCCGGGCACTTGGGAGGCAGAGGCAGACAAATCTCTGAGTTTAAGGCTAGTTTAGTCTACAGAGTGAGAATTTCAGGACAGCCAACACTACACAGAGAAACCCTGTCTCAGAAAACGAACAATAACAAACCAACAGAAGGTTCTTTTCCTGGCACACACATGGCTGCTTACAATTATTTGCAACTCCAGTCTCAGGGGATCTGACAATCTCTTCTGGCCTCCATGGAACATCCATACACATAAAATAAAAAGAAAGGGGTGGGGGGGCCCAAAATACCTATATTCCAGCAAAGAAGGAACAGACAGAGCAGAGAGATGAAGGTTCTGTCCATCACTGGGGCTCCCAACACAGGAGGGACCCTTTGCAACAGCTGAGCAGAGAGGAAAGGGCCACAGATCATCTCCAGGAAAACCAAATGCCTCAAAGATACTAGCCAGGTAACGGCATGCACCCAAAGAAACAGCCCACACAATAGTGAGCAACACATTCAACAAGGGAAGACGTTGGCCATTTCCCAGATCTGACTAAAGACATTTTAATTCTTTTGGTAGTAGAGTGTGGTAGTACACACCTTTACAACCAGCACTTAAGAAGGCAGAGGCAGGTGAATCTCTTGAGAATTTACGGTCAGCTTCGTCGACATAGTGAGTTCCAGACCAACCAGGGCTACACAGTAAGACCTTGTCTTTTCTTTTTCTTTTATTCTGGTTTTTGGAGACAGGGTTTCTCTGTGTAGTTCTGGCTGTCCTGGAACTCACTCTATGGACCAGGCTGGCCTTGAACTCAGAGATCTGCCTGCCTCTGACTCCCAAATGTGAGATCAAAGGTGTGCAACACCACTGCCTGGCAAGACCTTGTCTTAAAAAACAAAAAAAAACCTCTGGAAAAATAAAGCATGCACCACATAAAAGAAATTAAAACAAGTGACCTACAGGATGACGCTGTAAGACCCAGAAGAAGCAATCCTCATTTTACAGGGTAGCAAACACAATTTTACAAATGCTTGCTATATGCTATGTACCACTCTTGGCACTTCAGATGTACCAGGACTTTTTATTCTCATGACAATTCTAGGCAGTACCAACGATCTTTTTATTTTATTGCAGTACTGGGAAACAAAACTGGAGCTTCACAAATGCCAGGAAAGCTCTTTACCACTGAGCTACACCCTTAACCTCTGACACAATTTAGATAATGAGAGGAGTCAGGCAGGTTGTATAACTTGCTGGAGGTCAAGTGAACAGTGCCTAAAGAGCTAAGGGTCTAATTCAGGCTGGCACTTTAGGCCTTACCAGCAGCTTCCCTGATGTGTCAATGGAGCTCAGCTTGCAGTTTGATCTCAGATTAGCTTTCCCTTGGACTTAAATTTTGCTTCTGATAACGAATGAGTGTTCTAGTCATGGGACCTATTATTAGACCATAGATACGATCAAAGAAAGCAGATCTAATGAAAACCTCTATTAAATTGAGTGAGTGAGTGTGTGTGTGTGTGTGTGTGTGTGTGTGTGTGTGTGTGTGTGAGAGAGAGAGAGAGAGAGAGAGAGAGAGAGAGAGAACACACAAAAGGCTGGTAATTCCAGGCCTCTGCTTACATGTATCAAAGTAGATCATAAAACCAAATGCTATTAGTTACCAAACCAACTCAGACCCTCCATAAAGCATGTTCCAGTCCCTCTCCCAGAGCAAGAAAAACAGCTCACCAGCTGGAAGAACATGGGTCCTCCCAGCTCTCCACCCTCCTGATTCATCCCCTCTACCATGCTCCTGCTGCCTGGCATATCTATTGCTTAACTGGAGTAGGGTGAGATCAAAGCTATGTCTACCTGTAGTGGGACTCCAGACTCTGAGCCCACCATTGCTCCCCTTATAACTAATATAGCCTGAAAATATATGCAGCCTGGGGATAGGACAGGCTACTGGAGAGAATGGCTGACCTTGGTGGACTCCTGTGTGTGCATGCACTCATTTCTGCGACTGCAGAACCTTCCGTACATACTGGGTGGCAAGAACAGCAGCGTTCTCAACCTCGCTTTGTAATCGCTAATGTTTCTGCCAATTATGCCATCAGCCCCAGGGACTAAGTGCAGTCAACCTCAGATGGCATTCTAAGCCACCCCTCTGCTTTGTTGCCATCCCCAGCCCTTCAGTCAAGAATGGTGTTCTCCTGACAGGCAAAGGGCTGAGACATATCAAGGTGTCAAGGTGTTTCACCTTCCCAAGCAGGCCAAATTGAGTCAGTGAGGAGCATTATCTATCATTCTAAGAAGACAAACCTGAAGAGAATGAGTTAGCAGAAATGCAATTAGCTTTGAGAGACCAGTACAACTGGGAACTAAAATAATAAAACCTGGAAATGGCTGATAAGGAACTAAAACAAGCTGGGCTCAGAGTGGCAGGAGGGACTCCATGCCAACACCAATAATAATTCTTTCCTCCCACTGGGGAGGTATAGCCTGCAGATCTCCAGGGGAGCTCTTCAGTGTGTGGTATACATACTGCTGGGCACGTCCAGAGTCACCCAAGAGCCATTTCAGTTTTCTAGGCAGCAAGAAAGGGATTGCTTCTGAAGTCTCACGTGAGGTTCTAGAACAGATGGCAGCCAGCAGGGACTGGCGTTTTGTGACTCTTATGGAGCCCCTGAAGCACTGATAAAGGAGGTACAAGGGACAAATTTACTTGTGTTGTGGACCCTTCTCTGCTTCTGTCTCCTCTGAGGATTTTATTTATGTATTTATGTATTTATTTATTTTTGAGTGACTAGGGAAAAAACCTAGTACCTCCCACATAACTAGGGAAGAGTTCTACTACTTATGACCCACATACCTCAGCTCCTCACTGTGGATTCTAGGCAAGCACTGT